ATAGTACAAGAAATAACAAGCCGCAGAAGGCATTGTGAAAAAGTTTTTGAGAGTAAATTACTGTTTTACTGTAGAACGTTAGTGCCACCTGCTGGTAAAAATCAAATTTCATATAGCAGCATGATGCAAGTTTGTATAATGCTGTTTTTGGTTAAATGTTTGGTTAAACAACATTTCATGCTGTGTCATTTGGTACCTCCTGATTCCTGGAATCAAAGGAAGAATCATAAAAGGAAGTATCATAAATTATGAAACATTCAATTTTGACACAGGCTACTGTGACGATAGCTCAGTAATATTTTACAGTGACTGACCTTGAGGTTTATACCAGTCCAAGCACACTTATTTTTTTCTGGAGTGAACTTATTATAAAGGCCCCCTTTCAGTCATTAGAATCCTAAGCAAGTCTTAGAAGGGGTTTATCACTTCAAAGGATAAAATATTTTGTGCTAATTCTCTACATATTACAGGTATCATACAATGAACTAGTTAATTGCACAATTTCCTTGAGACCAGCTACATGTGTAAAGCAGTTGTCATATGATAAAAAGGTCCAACCAGCTATAAAGTTAGACCTTGAAAAATGCGTACTAACTGTTATAGCTAGTTGCTTTTGAACTTTAATCTGCACATGCAGCAGACTCTCCCATGAGGCTGGGAGCCAGGTCAGTTGACAAGGATCCCAGCCGCAGAGGTACACCATGCCCAGCTGTGGCTGTGAGTCCTGAAACGGAGGAGACTCTCAGACCCATCACCTGGTGACTCTGGGTCCTGGCAGCAAGGCATCATGGGATCTAATGCATGATCCCACAAAATCGTGCCTCCTTGTCATGCAATTGTGTGGATCGTGCATTAGATCCCATTGAGCCTTTACCTACATGTGTCAAAGGGCCCTCAGGTTCATTTTGATTAAAAACAAACTCATGTGGCCAAAAAATACACCACCGCAGTCTAGAAATTATTTAATCAGTATCAACTCCTGTGCTGCAAAACATTGTAAACCTGCATCACTCTACTCCAAATAACAGGGTCCTGAGGCTGTGATTTACTGTAGTTCCACTGAATTTTAATTATGTTACTGCTGCTTAAATGAAAACCAATACTCTTTTCTACTCATGAATAAAATCAGAATCTATTTTTTGTCTTCATGGAATTGTGATTCGGAACATAGTGTGCTGAAAGGATAGTTGACAGGGAGGTTTTTAATCTCCAGACAACTGTTTATATATAGGACCCTTTTCATTTATCCCTGCAGTTTTATCTGGAAGTTCTGAGACATTTCAAGTCTACCCAAAAGTTGTTTTGGCGGCAATCTTAAATGACAGTTGCTCATGCTGAGTAGCTACAGGATTATATGAAAACATACTCCAAAACATTTGAAGATCTTTATGTAACTCTGTGGCAGTGATCTGGAAAATTTGGAAAATGACATGCATATTGGTTAACTGCTTTCACATGCACCACCTGGTCTTGGATAGCAAGTAATATCATTCGCTCAAATCATGCATAAATATTTAGCTTTAAGCTTTAGCACCAGACCATGCCTAGGACAGGAATGCAAGTACCAGCCCTTAGCTAATACATTCCAGGGACTGTAAAAAAACATTTTTTTCTACCTGATTTCTCAGCAACACATTTTAAAAGGACAATATTTTATAATCCAGCATATCTGAGACTCAACAATAAACCAGGCATATCAGGGATCACTTAGCAGCTTAAGGAGGAAAAAAATTAGAACCCAGAAAAATCTGTACAAACATCTAGCTTTGTCTTTTAGAGTATTATTCCAACATAACTTATACAGTTTTTTTGGGGTGCATCTTTCTGTGAATTTAAGGCAGTGTATGTATGTATGTATGTACATACGTATGTATTTATTTAAGGCAGTGTATGTATCCTACCCAGGATGCAATTGCTGTAAAGGCATCTGGACCAGAGGGAACTTTTAAAGACTGCCCACCCGCCCAACAGAATACTCCTCTTGCGGATGACCTGTGGGACTTCTCTGAGCACTTTTTGAGCAGTGAATGCCACAGGAGGGAATGCCATGAAGCAAGAGTCACAGCTCTACAAGGGATCTCTGCCATTTTAATTATTTTAAAGGATGTTTTGGTTTAAAGGGGGAAGATGTAGGGCTTGCCTGGTAGACAGTCAATGAGTGCAAAGCTGGGGAAGATTATGCCAGAGTGAGATCATCTTCAATTTAGGATGGATGTCATCTAAGAGTTTATGTAGCAGTTTGCTCTTCTGTCTGGTTTAATTAGTATTTTGGTTTTGTTTATTCTATATATTTTCATTGGTTCAGTTTTCATATTGTTGCAGTGCTTTAAGAAATATCTATTGTTTGGGTGGGCTGGTTTGACTATGTACTTTTCATATTATTTATGGTTTTGAGCTTAATAAAGTTGTCTATTGAAACTGTGATTCTGTCAGAATTGTAAAAGAAAAGAAAAGCTGCAGCCTGCAAAAATATTTTAGCAAAGTTCAATAACAGACAAAGCAGTATGCACACTGCAGTCAACTGATACTCCATTAGACCAAAATAGCTAGCACAGAGAAGCACAATCAAATCAATATATAATTTGGCAGATAAATTGATGCTACATCCACCCACCACAATGCAATTCATCAGAGACAGAATTTCCCAAACATGGTAGCCACTATGCCCAAGAGATTAAAACAATGGATTACAGAGGATTAGTGTCTGTTATCTGTTGCTAACCTGAAAAAAATATGATTAAGCAGGTGGCTACTCATTACGGTGTCATATGTGACATGAGTTTGAGCACACGCGACTTCCTAATTTTTTCTAATCTTCCTTATCCCACCACGTGAGCAGGTTTTGGAGTGATTTCTGGCTATGAGAAGAGACTGTTAAATCCAACAGTATCCAAGTTCTACTCCACAGAAAAATATCACCTCTAGCTTTAAAGACTCTGCATAGGGCACAGCTACAATAACATATGCAGCATCTGCTATGTCAGTATCTAAATGATTTTTGAGGCAGTGCCATCTTGCCTCCAGCCTTCCAAATGATCATTTATTTAAATAATAAATAAATTCCTGATGATTGTTTCATAAAATGGATGAAATTTTTAGGGTTGTTGGTTGTAGCTATGTTGATCTAAGGGCATAGGCAGACAAGGTTCTTTGGGTAAATGTGATATCTTTTATTTAATTGTTATTGAAATAAAATTCAAATGTAAATTTAAATAAAAGATATCACATTTACCCAAAGAACCTTGTCTGCCTATGTCCTTAGACCAACACAGCTACAATCAACAACCCTAAAAATTACATCCATTTTATGAAATTATCATTGAGAAAGGACCAAATCCAAATGTGTTCAAGCATGTAAATGCCTGATTTTCTGAGAACTGTGATATTGTGAATGTTGACAATGCTATCTATATTCCTGTGTATGAACCTTCTTCTGTGGTCCAACACAAAGCAGAAATAGCCCCTGTGGTTAACATTAATATCAAATGAACAGAAGTACAAAACACTATTCTCCAAAAGACATCTCTTATTCCTGATACCCATAACTTGTATATAAACAGCTTTCATAATAGCATTGCAAACCTCCATCATCACCAGCTTGAATGTTGACTTAGTACTAAACACGTTAGCCATAGACCTGTAGCTGTTTCCAAATCTGAACCTCCTGTATCTGTATGAACCTCTTTCTCTACGTGACAAAGGGTTGAGACAAGCTCACTGCTTCAGAAGACTATGAAGATATAATTCTTCATGGAGAAGTTCAGGATTAGTCATTTCATGTTCACAGATCAAAGTGAACTAGTGAAAGTAGTATTTTAATCTACAACTATTAATATTTGTAATGGTGGTGGGGGGGAGGGGGATAGTCCAGAGCTAACTGGCCCTCCCCAATCTTGGGGACATGCTAATGCAGGCAGAGAGCCCCAAAACAAAATGGCTACTCAGCCTAGGTGCAAGTAGTGACTGACAGGCCTGGGGCAGATGTGGAGAGTCAGGTGACCCAGGAAAAGACATATAAGCACAGACCCCAAGCCAGAGGAGCAGTCTGGCTGTAGGAGGTGCAGGGGACAGAGCTCCAGGCAGAAGCCAGGCTAGGGAACCCAGAGAAAGCATTCAGAGCTGCAGCAGAGGTGGGGGAAACCCTGCATCCTGAACCAGGAGCAGATAAATACCTCGGGCTCTTTGGACAAGAGCTTCTGCAGGGCAAGATTAACTCTTGGAGGTTTTCATTTATACTGGAGGACCAGATTGTGGCTTTATGGGCTGAGGTGGCCACTGAGAAGGGTTCCTAAGGACATCCCAGATCCTAGGCACTCATGAGGATGAGACCAAGGACCAAGATACCCCAAGCCCCACAAGGGGTGAGGCATAGCAAAGACTGGGGATGCAAGCCCAGGACTTTTGAGAGTGAGACCATGGGCCAATGAGCCTACTGGCCATGAGGGCCTAAGCAGGGAGCCCAGAGGTGCAGGGTTATGGCTAGAGTTTGGGTCTGGGAGCTTGTGGTCCCAAGAAAGTGGACCTAGGCTGAGGGGCTCAGCCAGAATAAAGTGGAACAGGGCCAGGAAGGCCTCAACCGAGACAAGGGCCCACCACCCAAGACCCTCTTTGCCCTCTAGAGGCTGCCTCCCTGTCAATTTATAACAACAAAGCATGGCAGGCAAGATAACAATGTGGAATCCTGAAAGACCAAAGGGGGCACACAATGGAGGCCAGGTGGTAGCCAGGAGAGGTGGTTTTGCCACTTCAACACCCACCTCATGACAATATTTCCCCATGGGACAACCTCCTAAATTTTTGTGCAAAAGAATCAAGAATCAAATGATACATATATAATAGAGAAGTCTTTACATGCTGATAAAAGAAGGTTAATAGAAGTAATAGCTTCTGGGATGCTGAAAATATATTCAAATATCTTTATTTAGCTATAAATAAGTCTTATTTGTGAAAACATTACACACACACTTTCTTAATATTTACATAAAAGATTAATTCCTTACCTTCAGTTTTCTTACCGCATCTCTCACAACCTCTGTACCTTTGGGCTGCTCCACTTCTGTACTGCCAAGAAACTGAAAATGTTGTAATTTGTGAGAAAAAAGGCTGAAAGTCAGAATTTACTGATTAAATTTGTAAATAACATTTTGTAAATATAATCAGTCAATATTTGATGTAGTTGTTGAATAATGAATGCTATATAGTCACTAATCAAAGGAAATATAAGCAAAAGAAATGCTTAATTAGACTAAAATACCAAAATTATTTGAAACAGTCGTTGAAAACAATTTTACTTAGTCTGATCTCAGACAAATGTAAGGATTTCTACCCAAGTACCTCTGCTCTATAAATATAACTGTACGCTCTTCCCTCTGGGCATTGACATCTTCGTAATGGCATGACTTTTGGAAAAGAATAAAACCGTTCAAGAATTTTATTAGCACCAGTGAAGTAAGGTGTTCCCAAGGGAAAAGTTCAGCATGTGACTGCTTTTGGATTAAGTTAACCATACTTTCATAAACTTGGCGAAGGATATTTAAAGGGCTAATTTTGTTCTTTCAGTGGTTTGTAATTCTACTGCGCCTACTTCAGAATAGTTTCTGATTTACAGTAGATAAAGTAAATGAATTAGCATAATGGTTTAGCTATATACAATGATGAGATTATTGAGCTGCATAAAACTGTTTCAACAAAAACAAATATGCACACAGCAATGGGCAGGAAGGCTCAGTTTTTCAAATGCATAGATTTGTACACCCCAGGTATCTTTCTTACATATTATGCCTGCTTATTGATTGGCTTCTAACATTTTGAACAACCAAGTTGTGGTTAAAATGCTCAGATTTATTTTTGTGTTTAATTTACCTATTTTCCTGATTTCCGTACACAAATATAGTTGACTCACCATATTTTGAAGGTTTTGTGTATGATCAAATAATGCTAACAAAACAAAAGCATAAAATCCTACTGGGATAATATGGACATGCAAGTATAGGAATAGCTTAAAAACTTAATATTAGTAAATCGAAGTAGTAGATGCACACATACTCTCTAAACTGGAACCAAAAAAAATCACATTCCTCTGTTCGGTATTGGATTTTCACTCAGGTGCACCAACTGACTTGATGAGATGTGTATGAACTGTAAATTTAAAGCAACTTCAAAAGCAATTCACAACTTCCCAAGTTACAGTAGTTTTCAATATTCTCCTAGTTTCCTCAAGTTCTTGAAAATAATTTCATTAAATAGTTTGCTACAGCATAACTGCTTTACTCAGAGCAATGTGCTCTATATGTGGTCACTGGGACACCTGTAAAAGCTTTTCTTCTCTGAAGATGGATCTTAAATAATATGGCTTCATTATAAATCTGCTTCTGTCATGTGAAATATAATGCGTCATCTTGAGTATAACAGGATGCGGGACAAAACAGCCGTGATACACGTATGCCTGCTGTCAACCTTCCATGCCAGCATAATACCTCACTTGGGAGACAGGGATTATTTTTTTAACACGAGGAAGTTAGAAAGATTTTGTACTGTGAATTGTTAACAGACTGTAAATATCTCCTGATTATTGTTTATGTTTGTCACTTTTCATCCATGGTCTTTGTATATGAAGCATTTAATCTGGTTATCAAATAAGATACAAGTGAATGATACATTTACAAGGGACAGATTTTAGTGGATGTATTTGTGCATTTTTATCAGAATGACAGCTGGTTAAAACACCAAAATGATGATTGCTTAAAATTTTTCCGTGGACATTAATTTTCAGCCCAAAACAGCAAAAACTCAAAATTAAGATTCTGACAGTTAAGCATTCTTTCACAGTTTAAAAAATAACATACTATTTAGCTGTGCATTTTGCTTATGCAGACCATCGCATATTTTTTATCACTCTTACCCTCATCTTTCTTCCCCAATTCCTTCTTAGCTTTTATTCTGGCAACTCAGTGAGTTTTGTTAGGTGACTGATTTCAATACAACTACCAGTATTCACTACAGTCAAATCAGTGTGTGTAAGACCCCCACTTTAGATGTTACAGGTATCACACAATTAACTGGTTAATTGTGCAGTTACCTTGAGATCAGCTACACATGCAGAGTAGCTATAATTGCCATAAAAACTCTAACCAGTTATAAAATTAGTAGAAGTGCACCAATAGAGATTTTTGGGGCTGATACTGATATCCAATTTTTAAGGAGGCATATCCACTGATATCAATCCAATTTCCGATAAAGCTGCATACAGCTGGCAGGTCTGTTGTGGTGGAAGGGGAAAGAAGGGACATGGGGGAATAGATCAACATCCACCCCTGCGGAGAGGGTGTGGGGGAGTGGCTCCTGTCACTGCGTGAACCCCGGGAGGGCATGGGAGAGGGAGCTGTGCCCCCAGATCTGCACGGTGCTGGGTGGGTGGGCTGCAGCTGCAGGCTGGAGCTGGGGCTGTGCTGGGTCTTCTTCCTGGGGGCAGGGCTCAAGATAGGGGCTATGGAGGGGGCTGCAACCACCCCACATTTCACTGTAGTGCTACTCCCAGTGCCACCACATGCCCAGCACAGCCCTGGCTCTTCCCAGTTCAACTCCTGCCTCCGCCCGCACAGCGGGAAGAGCCAGGGCTGTGCTGGATGCATGGCAGAGGCGGTTCTGGGAACGGTGGCTGCAGCCCTGTCTGTAGTCCCTGCTCTGAGCCCAGCCCCTGGTGAGAAGAGTCTGGTGCAGCTTTGGCTCTAGCCTGCAGCTGCAGTCTGCCCGCACAGATCTGGGGACACATGCCCACCCCCGTGCTCTCCCAGGGTGGAAGCAGAAGTGAGAGCCACTCCGACAAACCGCAGCTCCATCCCATGCCCCACCCCAGCTGGACATCTGCCCCTGCCCCCACTGGGGGGTTGAGCTGTCCCTGCCACACCCCTTTCCTCCCAACTCCCTTCTACCACAACAGACCTACCAGCCGGTGGCAATTTTCCACACTGCCGGGCTCTGTTCCTTGCTGCCTGAGTGCTGTGCTGCAGCTGCACACAGGCATTTATTGGCCAAATTATCGGTGCCATCAGGCCGATTTCTGATACAGCCAATTTTTTTTATATCAATAGCTGACAATTGAATTGGTGCATTTCTAAAAGTTACACCTTGAAAACACGTGCTAATTTTATACCTGGTTGCTGTCAAGCTTTAATTTGCATGTGTAGCAAGTTTTCCCTCGTGGCTGGAAGCCCCATCAACTGAGGAAGTACTAAGCGTGGGGATGCACCATGTTCAGCCAGAGCTCAGAGTCCCACTATATATATAAAAAATTTGACCTTGGGTTCAGAAAGTCACAAAGAGCCGGGGAGAGGGGTGTTGGCTTGAAAATGGTATTTAAAGGTCTGTTTTTGGGGAATTGCTTTATAGAAGTGTGTGTGTGTGTGTGTGTGTGTGTGTGTGTGGGTGTGTGTGTGTGTGTGTGTGTGTGTGGGTGTGTGTGTGTGTGTGTGTGTGTGTGGGTGTGTGTGTGTGTGTGTGTGTGTGTGGGTGTGTGTGTGTGTGTGTGTGTGTGTGGGTGTGTGTGTGTGTGTGTGTGTGTGTGGGTGTGTGTGTGTGTGTGTGTGTGTGTGTGTATGAATTATAAGGGTTCAAGATGGGCGGGGGGGGTTAACTGATTTCTAAAGAGCTTGGGTCTGACGCACAGAGTTCCATAAAGCCTTGGAAGCAGACAGGCTGTCTAGCACAACAAAGCCAACAGATGGATATAGCCTGAGAATTGAGGGGGGTATGCCATAACACAAGATCACAGCCTTCAAAGCAGATAGGTTGTCTAACACAACAAGAACGCAGTCTAGAAAACAGCATGGGAACCAAGGAAGTATGTACACGAGATAAGTGACACCAGCTACAAGGTGCCAGAGCAGCTGCGGGGGAGGGGACTAAGTCCTGGTTTTGGGGAAAAAGACCAAATTAGAAGGCCTGGAAGGCTATGTGCATGTTTGACCACAGAGAGACAACCAACCAGAGACAGGCACGGATGAAGAGTCATCAGGAGTCATCAAAGGGAAGGAGAATACGAAAGCAGAGACTTGAGAATAAAAAAGGGTCCCTCCTCGTCCCTCCTCCTCTTCCTTTCCATCCCTCCCTAATCCTCCTGTTTCTCCTTCCTGCAAGGGGTCCCCAAGGCCACCATGGACCGAGGGCATACCAGCAGCCTATCTCCTACACCCCACTGGAAGGGGGCTGTGGGCCTTGGCATCCCACCTCCAGAATGCTGACATGCCATGCTGACATCTGACACTTAAGAAAGGCTCAGACTGGAGCCTGCATCCAGATGTACTTTGACTCAGATTTGGAAGATATATAGAATTTCTTGATTGTTTGTATTGCTTTTTGTCTGTTATCACCATGTATCAATAAATTTGCCTATTATCGAATGGAAAGGTCATGGTCAGTCTAAGGGTGCATCCCCCTGCCCTGAACAAGGTATCTGGATCCTAACTCCAGAGCCAACAAGGGGGTGATTGCAAGCTGAATATTTTTACCTCTCCTTCTCCTGGAATCATTTTTAGTGGTGAATTTAAAAGACCCAAAGAGATGGCTGGAGCATGTCACAGTGCCAGAGCCACTGCCACTACCACTCCTCTTCTGCTTACATGTGTGAGGTGCCTGTCCAGGTAGGACCGCCTGCTGTTGAGTCTTCCACCCAGGTCCTGGTTTGGTGATTGTGGCTTGCAGGTTCCTTCCAGAGACAGTCAAGAGGGGGAATACCTGCAATATGAGTGGTGCTTCCTCGTGGAGTCCCTCAGGTAGCAGGCAAGGGAACTAAAGGAGGAGGTGGTGAGGATCCAAGGCTAGGAACAGACATTCAAAAAGCTGGAGCCTGAATTGATTCCAGCTTTGCAGGTTAGTCTAACCTGCCTAGGCTAACCCGGTTTGTAACAGGACAATCATTCTCTCTGGACTGAGGCAATGCAGGCACATGCCTGCAGTTGCTCAGGCCAGGAGCTGGGGGGGCACTAGAGTGTGCCCTCAGCTGCAGGGAAGCTGGGGGGGCATGGCCAGTTTGGGCTGAAGTGGCCAGAGAGGGGTTTAAATCCCCCTTCTCTAT